AACCAACGGAGCCACTCTGGCAAGAGACCCATTTTCTTTATTTCCCTTTCATTTGCCAGTGTCAGCTTTGGCACCACTGATTCCAGGACCAGAAATAGTCCTGTTGGCGTTTTCCAGGTGGTTCGCAACTGTCAGTCAGGGCTGCCACCTGGGATTCCCCCACTACATTCACACCACCTCCCATCCTGCCTCCACCAACTGGACTATGGGACTTGTTCTGCAAAGAGCTGAGGTCTGAGAAAAACATCAGTGTGTTGCTTGCTGGTTTTATTTTTCTTATGATTTCAGAGAGCAAAGGAGAGAGATAGAAACATCTATGATGAGAGAGAATCATTGACTGGCTGCCTCCTGCACACCCTCTACTGGGGATCGAGCCCACAACCTGGGTATGTGCCCTGACCAGTAATGGAGCCTGGGACCCTTTGGTCCACAGGGCCTAAGCTCTAACCACTGAGACAAACCGGCTAGGGCTTGCCTGCTGGTTTTAAAGAAATAAACCAGAGGACTGGCTGTGAAGGACCTGGGTTTATTAGACTTATGCGGACACCGGTGGGGCCTGCTGGTGAAGTTTTCCGCATCACAGGCTTTCACAGCTCATGGTTATAGAGAGTCCAGAAAACAAAGCAAGCAGGTGTGGGCAGGGGGTGGGGTGTACCTGTGTGCAAACTGTGTGAGATCAAAATGCCAGCTGTTTCCCTGCAGTTTGCAGTCTGGGCTCACACACTCACCAGGCTCCCAAGGTCCCACGGTCCACTTCCAGATGGCCTTCCTCAGAGTCCCACAGGGTGCGAGGCTAAATACGATACACTGGTATATGTTATGGGTTATTTTCAAAAGCATAAAAGACTCAGTGGGTATACCATGAAGCTAAGCTTAAAATAAGAACCTGAAGTTGGAGAGTTTTTTAAAAAAATTTTGATGACTGAGGGAGGAAGATTAACCATAAGGCTGGGCAACTTAGGGCCTTTGTTGACCTTTGCCAATGAGATTGACATAATGGAGTAGGCACAGAGGCACTCGTGGCTAGAGTTGAGAAAGAATTAGAGCAAGGAATCGAAAGTCTGCTGGAAATGTTTTTTGGAAGCAGCTTGATAGAGGAGGCACAGGGAAGGTTGCCATGTGTGAATTCAAGGTACTGAGAGAAAAAATAAAATAAAAAACAGCTCATGTGAACTTTGGATTATTGGGGGAGGGGTAATGAGTTTAGGCTGAACCTTACTTCGGTTTGCTCTCTTAGTCTCCAAACTCCTTCAACACTTCCAGCTCCGCACATGTCGCCTCTCCTGCCTCAGAACACCCAGTGCTGCCCAGATGCACTGGCTGAGCTCTCCAGGCCTCTAACTCCTCAGCAGCCAGGACCCATCTACAGGCAGGACTCACAGGCCCCCATGAGGTCATCTGCCCATCAAGTCTGTTCCTGGTGCTTATCCTTCATTTTGGTTGGGGAGGCATGATCTATGCTGGAATCAAGTCAGAAACTCCCTCTGCCTGCCCCTCAGCCAATGACTTCCCCAATTAAAAATCGTACTTTCACCTGCTTTATGTTCCGCTGGTCATATTCCTCTTCTTAGAGCAGTGATTCTCAACCTTGGCTGCACATTAGAATCACCTGGGAATCTTTTTAAAATCCTGATTTCTGGGCCTCATCCTCCAGAAATTCCGTTTCTTTGTTACTAATGTTGTGGTCCCACTCCATAACAAAGAAACAGAATTTCCGGAGGATGAGGCCCAGAAATCAGGATTTTAAAGAGATTCCCAGGTGATTCTAAAGTGCAGCCAAGGTTGAGAATCACTGACTTAGAGTTGTACCTCAGGCAAGTTCATCTCTGTGCTTCAGTGTCCTCAGGTAGCCAAGACGCTTGTGATTTCAATGCCCCTATTTTTTTAGCAACTAGAATGAAATAACTTAATTATTTTCTTTCTTTTGAAATTTATCTATTTGTTTATTCTATTAAATTTATTGGGATAACATCCTATATAATAATCCTATATAATAAGGATTAATAATCCTATATAATAAGGGTAGCGTATGACCGCTACCCTTCCCATTGGCTA